AAATCGAGATTGATCAATCAAGGGGTGCGGGGGTGGGGGGGTTATTTATTAATGCGAAAGTAAACATTATGTGGGGGTAGTACCCAAGCTGTGTGCCACCATGTGCTACCAGCAAAAACCCTAGGGATCCAAGTATACAAATAATAGCAACATTGGGCCCTAAAGTCTAAAAATCACCTACATTGGGCTTTTTGGATCCTTAGGAAAAGGAACCCTGAAACCGTCCGTGCCTGTTTTAGCGTCGCAATGTACTTGCCAACTTTCGGACTCAGGCCTCTAAAAAACATTACGTGTCCCTGTATACCCCCCTACATAGCCCCTACAGAACCAGTATATCCCCCAATCACAATAAGGACTACAATATGTCGGGATACCGTATTTCAGGGTTTCCCTGTCAATAGTAACTCCCACACGTTGTGGTTTGACTGTTCGGCTTTCGCTGAACACGCTCTAACCCCTAGCAGGCAGATGCAAGCAGCTATCTGCTCCGTTCATTTACAGCGACTGCCAAATCTCAAACTTCATCGGGATCAGAACCCCCTTTTTCAACCCGAAACCCTTAACTGAGGCGTGACGGCAAGGCCGGCCACATGCCCTGCAAAGCTGTTTCAAAAGTCAAGCTGCGACACGGCTAAGGAATTTGGACTTGCCGACCTGGTCAGGCATCTGGGATTGGGGAGAGTAGGCTAGGGTTTAGGGAAGCACGTTTGGGATGGGGGCATAGGATTTGGAAAAGGATTAGGGATGTTGAGGCTTGTGATCTGAGGGCTTCAAGGCCCACAAGCTGACACTTTGGGACTTTCCAAAGATTGGGGTCCCTCCGTATAACCACAATAGCTTAGGGGTTTATAGGGGTTATGAAGTATAGTCCTCATGTTTTGAAAGAGGACCCAAAAGGGAGCCCTGACTTTCGGAAACCATCATTAGGAATGTCTCATTGACTCAACCCGTGTTTATGATTTTATGAAATCGCCCATGGCGATTCATAACCCCGAAACTGAACACCAAGTATACACGCGCTCACCAATATTCTCAAGGAAGCCTATGTATGCCCACCAAACCACAAGTACTTGGTTGGCCTTTATTGCCCTTTCAAAACTCATTAGTATTGCAAGGTCCTTGTGAACCTAATCGGCGAAACTAAAGTAGCCCTAAACCCTAAACCCTAGGCTTCCCTGAACCCTAAAACCCTAAACCCTAAACCCTAAGCCCTAAACCCTAAACCCTAAACCCTATAAAATCCTGCCCCAAAGAATAACCCAGAGTAAAACCCTACCTCGAGCGCAGCCAAGCTGCCATCTGCACATCCTTCTGGAGGATGTTGATCGGGGACCTGATTGTAATGCCAGATTCTGACATCTGCTATTGTAGAAGTAAGGCATCAGTACCAATACTATTGCATAGAAAAAGCTGTACTTAAAGTACAGCATCCCTAAATCCCGAACCCTAAATCCTAAACCTTAAACTCTAAATCCTCAACCTTAAGCCTAAATCCTAAACCCTTTGGCAATGGGCTCTAAAACCTAAATCCCGTATCCCTTTTAAACCTGCTAGGCTCCCACATGTCTCAGGTCGAAGCCCTCCAATCCCTGACCCATAGATTGAACCCTGTACTGGCAGTTTAAAGAGCTTGCATCTGGCCATAGGAAGACAAGGAAGTATATGAGGGCAGTGTTTAAGGCTTCTAGGGGAGGAAGCTGCGACAGGGTTTAGGGTTTAGGGTTTAGCTCCTTAGGCTCCAAACCCTGAAGACTCAACACCCTGACCCGAAAGCCAGGAAATGCATTGGGTTTCGGTTTTCAATCGGTTTGCAACTTGGGCTCCCCTTCACTCAGCCCACATTACTCTAGGAAGAAGACTGATCTTTTTACACAAGTATGAGGAAGCCCATACCCCAAAAAAGTACAGGGATCCCTCACATTGATCCAATTTGAATGCAAACCCGACACTAAACCCTGAACCCTAAGCCGCAGCCGCAATACGTCTCTCTGCATCCCTCGGAGACTTCCCGAAAAAAGCGGTCCTGCTCATACATCCCAAAACACTATAGCCCCCATGAAGTAATCTTAAATTCTGGAAACCCCTTAACTTTTTCCCTCCCGCATGGCTGTTACGCATGCAGGACAGGCAGATGAAACCCTTTACATCTACTGAGGATCACCCCTACACCCTAGATCCTATAACCCTTTTTAAGTAGATAGAATATGGCTTTGGGTATATTCTAATAGGATCCAATATATCCCATATTCTATCTACTGAAGGGGGATCATAAACCCTAAACCCTGAGGATAACCAGGCATTTGCGCGATAAGCGGCTGCTTTCTTCCAGTCCGACAGGTTGGGTAGGAGACCTCCCAGCCTACAGCGCTAGGGCGAGGTTGACAATGGACATGAAACGCTTCTTGGAGCCCTAAACCCTAAACCTTGAAGCTTGGGTACTGCCCCCCCCCAGTAACAGTCTATACTAGGGGTCCCATTAAGGGCTATATATAACCATATTATACTTATTATCCAACTGTTACTGAGGGGGGGCAGTACCCAACCTAAACCCTAAACCTTGAGGCCTAAACCCTGGTACGATTTGGGGCCTGGG